CACAGTTGTACGGGGTGGTGGGTGGGAGCGGGGAACGTTCCCGCTCCGATACCAATGTAGCGGACCCACCAGGTGTGGTGCTCCGCTAGTGACAGAGATGGAGATGGAGGAAGAAGGGGGGGAGCGAGATGGCACAACGCAGCTCCCCACGCGAGGTGGCTGGGGTATACCCCAGCGGACTGACGGGACTGGACTGGACTGGCTGGTACCGACAGAGGTACCGGCCTGGACTGGCCTACCCCGAATACAACACAGGCCTGTGAGAACAGGCCAAGGGGCTGGTCTCACAGGCCAACCCGAGGTCCGCTACAGTTACTATTCCTCTCTCCAGAGGAAGGCCGCCAGCTGTTGTTTCAGTGTTTTGAGTTTCCTCACGAATCAACGAAGCAGAATTCCCCTCTCAAGCCCGCTTCCTCCTCGGGCATTCCCCCCCCCCACTCCCCACGTCAGCAATACAATTCTCCCCTGATGATCTCTGACATCTACAACGATCAGGTCACAGCAGGGCGCCCATCCTCCAACCACGTCAGCAGTTGTCAAGGAAGATGGCGCAGGAATTCCTCTTGGAGAAGAGCAGCAGAGCATACGCGTCGTCACAGGTACATCCAAGTAAACTTCTCTTCATCACTCATACCAATCTCACAGTCCAGATCCTCCTCCTTGCCCACACTCCTGTCAATGTCGAAGTCAATGTGGCTATGGCCACGTCAACATATTCACCCTCAAGACTGGCGCTCACTCTCAATACCTGGCGCCAACATAAAGCTCCAACAGCCTTGCGAAGTTGCGATGTCACACCAGCATCAAGCCAGCGCCAGGTAGAATGCACACGGCTGAATCCTCTCCAAGAAGGGGCTGGGTCAACTTATACTGTTGACTAACGTTGACCAGCCTCTAGTCTCCCGGGGTCTACGCCCCAGATCAATCGGAAGCCAATGGCCTGGATGCTGCATAGTTGCAGATTTCCCATGGGTCCCACTTGGACCGGATTCTTCTGGATACCTGCAGACAACCAATGATGCGCATCTGATCGACGGCCGTGGCTGACCAGCAGGTTGACTTTGATCTCTGGGCCTGGATTCCCGTGCTGGGTTTGACCGTTGACTTTCTCAAAGTCCGCTGTTCCTCATAGGCCCGCTGAATGCTGGTTTGGCCCTCCCCTGGGTACCCCTTGGCGTTAGGCCTTTGCCCAGGCTCTTCTTAGTCTTACGGCATTCAACCTCTGTTTTGGGCCTTTGACGAAAAGTGACGACCTAGAGCCCACAGCTTATGCAGATCTGAGCCGAGTTATTGCAAATAAACAAATAAATAAATAAATGAATGAAAGAAAGAAAGATGAGAGGTAATGATGATTATGATTTGATGACAGTGACGATCACGATCACGATGATGACGATGATGATGATGATGACGACGATGATGATGATGACGATGATGATGATGATGATGATGATGATGATGATGATGATGACGATGATGACGGTGATCCGATGAAGACCAACATCGTGACGATGATGAGGATATGAATGAGGTGTGCATACTATGTACCTTAGATGCAGCCTCTTCATCCTTGGTTACTTGTTGCAGAAGCACGTTCGTCACTTCGGTCTTCTCTGCTAAGATGGGTTGTAAGGCATTCAACTCGGCCTGCAGGTCAGGCGTCAGACAAAGGGAAGGGTTGCAGAGACAACGAATCAGGTCCTTTATCAGGAAGCATGAATGAATCACATAAAAAATAAAATCTATTAGCAAAAACGACAAGTGCAAATGTTGAAGACAGTTGTTGGTGCAAAAAAAGATATCATGATAAAATCGTTAAGTTGCAGCATTTACTCTTCTTCGATGTGCTGCGAGATGCAATATATATCGTCAAATAGAACTGCCCGGTAAACCGTAGGCAGAGAGGGAGAAGAGGACAACAAATGAGGGGCTGTGACAAACTGTTTCGTCGGTATATATATATTTACAGTAAAAGTAAGATGGCCTTCGGAATTAACGTCCAACTAGCCGCCTAAACCCTAAACCCTAAACTCAAAATTACAATTTACAAGAGTTAGGGCCGCACTCAGCAGATGCACAAGAGACGAAAAATAATGGCGGTGTATCTTTCCATGATCTTGCACGATATTCGTTCTCATTTTGCAAATTTGGTGAGTGGCGGACAACCATTGGCTTCCCCTGCCAGCAATCCCCTCAGGTCTGGTCCTTGGCCTCTACAACACCCTGGCCTTAAAAAAAAGAAAAAAAAAAGGAGCCTTTTTTGTTTTGTTTGAACAAAAAATCGAAAAAGTCCCTCGAAAGCAGGCACCAAAAAAAAATTATCTCCCCACAACCCCGGCCTTCGATGGCTATCACAAGAAGTCCGGTGAAAAGCGGTGGGCGTGCCAGGGACCTGCGGATTTCTATTGGTCTGATCCCAAAAAAAAAAAAAAGAAAAAAAGAAAAAGAGGAGCTTCTTTCGGCCTGCCGGCTTTCTGGGATAACCGTAGGGGGATGGCCGCTTTCGGGAAACCGTTGCCGCTTTACGGCGAGGGTCACGGCCTGCAGGACACCTCAACGACAGAAAGTAGCAACAGGCGGTTTTTCTTTTCTGGTCCGGATGCCCCTGGTACCATGTGGGATATGGATTTAAGTTAAAAAGTACCCTCACTACTTGACGTGGGATCCAAGCCTTAGTTTTTTTCCCTTTCCCCCGGGGGGAGACCCTCGTGTGGGAAGTAGGGAAGTGTCGAAGGAGTAGAGAGGTGGAAGCACCCGCTGAGGAGGACCTCGTGGCTGCGGTTGAAACCGGTCGGTCGGGGTGGGTACCCATTACCATTACACACCAGCACTTGATGTAATCATTGTAATCATTGTAGTTTGTTTTTTTTTTTTCCTTCCCAAAACCTTTTGGTATGTTCTAGTCACTCCGGCCCTGTACACACCGGGGCTATCAGTGTACTGACCAAGCTGGAAAATGGGTCTGGCGTCCCTCACATAAAAGCAGAGTTCAGAATGTGATCCAGACAGGTGACACAATCTACTACACACGTATGATACACAATCCCCAAGAGCAGCCAGCCTAGAGTCACCTCCAATCCGGACACACGCAATGTACAATGTGCGCACACAGGCAACAGACAATAACAAAACTAAGAAACTACAACGAAAAAAGCACAGTTCCTAAAGACAACAACCTAGAGTCACCCCTAAGCCCGCTCACAAAAAGGCAGGCCAAACAGTAACAAAACTAAGAAAGAAAACGAAAAAAGCACAGTTCCTAAAGACAACAACCTAGAATCACCTCTAAGCACGGCTCACAAAAACGCAGTCCATGGAGTCCCCAAGCGACCGACCCTCTAAAATGGAGGCTCCACACAATTCTCCATTTTTTTTTATTTTTTCAGGGCCCAGTGCCCAAGGCTTGTATTGATATTTGAGAACATTGAGGCCGGAGTCCTAACAGTCTACCCCGATAACCAACATATGATGATGAGGATGAGGATGATGATGCTAAAACTGATGATTTTCTGCTAATCAGAATCATGATGTCTGACCAGTCGCACTCAAGTACTAGCCAATAAGTAAGAGTGATCAGGAAGGCTAATCAGAATGTTCTTTACTCAGAACTTCAACATGGAACCCTATCCTAATTCCAGGTATTTCTACCAATTCCAACTATTCTCATCTGATGCTGTGCTGTGTACCAATCCCAGGTCTACTCAGTCTCACACCCTCTATTTAACTAAGTTACAGGGCAGCGCTACCCGCCCCAGCTCCGACCATCGTCGGCAGGATTGTTACCGTCAGTCAAATTAGTGGACTGCCTTCCTCCCTCGGCAATCCCCAGATCTCTCTACAAGACCTCAAGCTCCTAGTAGTTTAGGTTACAGGGCGATGCCCCAGCACCGGTCAGCATCGTTCTGGTATCAACTTGACCTAGGCAAGTGCACATTCACGACTCAATCTGACAATCAGCAAAATTGATAATAATACCTAAAAACAGAGGATTTGATTTACTTCAGTCCCCAACAGATGACGCATCTGATGAGGGTGGTGATGATAATGATTGACGTCAGTAGATATGGATTTTATTCCTCTTCCCCCCACTGTTCCTCCTCGCCCCTTGTTGCCTCTGCTGAATTGAACCACCCTGGTGAGTAGTCGTTTTTCAGCCCCAACCTGGGACAGTCCCACTTATAGCCGTACTCACCATTAGGTCCTACCATTCCCCCCAAAGTATGACCCAATCAAGCTGTTGCCCTAATCTGCCACCGCTAGATTATCAGCCCTAGATTAGCGCAATCCCCCATCTACTTCCACTCCTAACAGAGCATCACTACCCACCATGCGATGCCCTTATAGAGTTTCCGTTTCCCCCCACCTTACCCAATTACCTTCTCTCATATTCTAATGAAACGCAATCAGAGGAAATTTTGAAAAACCTAACAATTTAGATGCTGCTGCTGTTGATGACGATATTGATGATGATGACCCTTGATGTAGATTCAACTTCCCCTCTCCTCCCTTGACTCTTTCCCCCTCTTCCTCTCCTCCTCTCTCTATGCTGCCCCCGCTGAGCGGAATCAATCTGCAACCAGTTTAATTCCCTTAGCCCCAGCTAGAGAAAACCTTGAAAATACACAAGAATCCCAAGATCAACCCACTAGGAATCGAACCTAAGACCTTCCGCCAAAGACGCGGAACACTTAACCAATCGGAAAAGTGAGCTGGGATGAAAGTGAAGCCCTTAAGGGACATTTCACCCCACCCCAGCATGGTATGTATTTTTTAGAAGTACATCCATGACCCGGTGTACCCAGACTCAACTCAACCCAGGCC